ATTTGGGATATAACGATGTGTGATTGGTACTCCCAATAATGACAATATAATGGCGGCTCCTGTCCGAAAACTGTGCACTGTTTCCCCTCAATCTAGACCCATCTCTCTTTTAAGTACTTTTTTTAGCCTAGCCTGAGCAGCTTCAGTGGAAAATTGTGTTTCCAACACAAGACCATCTCTTGAAGTTGATCGAAACAAATAGCACGTTGCGAGGGACACTCCTAATCCTGCCACCATATCCAAGTACATTGTATTTTGAACATCACGCCGTTTACTGGGCATATTGCCTCGTCATCTACTTTAGCCACACCAAACATGTTGTTGCTCGCCCCTCTAAGTGAAACGTAACGTAATGGTTAAAGATTAAGGTCGACCGCGTAGGTGACACCAGTATTTCTGTGGACAACATCTGACAAAGGTCTCCCGCTCGATCCCCCCCAACATCAGTAATTTGAAGAAACAAGCATCTCTGGCCAGTATGTATAAATCCAGTGGTTGTTATGTATTGTGTTGAGATCTTTCTGTCAATATGAGCAATTAACTTCTTATATTTATCCAGAAACATAGGTGTCGCCTGCGTTGGTGTAATATTCGCCCTCGCCTGCTCCTCAGCAACAAGTTTCTTATATTCCTTGACTTTAGGATGCGCTGCTGGGTTAGTGGCACATATCGCAGGTTCCTGTGGTACCCTTACCTACTTCTGAGAAGATGGACCTGAGTTTTCCTATTAATGAGTCTACTGTTGCAGCTGCCAAGCGCACGGGACATGAGCATGATCCTTTCTTTGTTCCCAAATTTGGACATTGCGACAAATGTACTTTTGTTTTACCATTAACTTCTTTCCAGACTAAGAATCGTAGGATGTCCTCATGTGAGGCTTTTTCTATAGACTTGGAAACTGACAATTCTAACAAAAAGGGTTGAAGTTGATCTCTTAACGTTTCTTTTTGCCAGCGGTAAGTAGAAGATGTGTTGAATAGGCTGTCCAGCCTATCATCTATCCTGTGTACATCTACAGGAGCCATCCCTCTTGTTTGGTCTTTTGAACGGGTGGCTTGGTACATGTTTTTTTCTTGGAGCAGCACAACTTTTGCAGAGTTTAAAATCACTGTCATTGACTTCCTTGCACTTCTCACATAAGGCGGCCGCTGTACATACCAACTTGATTCTAACCTGAAACAATATAAAGGCAAATTTTCATTCATCAATTGAACAGAGATACTTCTTCGCTACAATAAGTTATATTCGAAAGACCCATAGGTCCCGATTCAGTCCCCTTTTATCTGGGACGAACCCTTTCTCGGTTGGGTAGAGTAAGGCAGTTGTGTCACCCTTCTTTGCCAGAATCTGGGCGTGCTTTGCCCGATGGTATAACAGCGGCCACCACGTTGGGGTGGGTGTGAGACGAGGGACAACAATTACACAAGTGCACGTTGCTCCGTTCGTAAGCAGAAAGCTGATAACCGGGAAAATCAAGCCAATTGGAGGGAATACATAAGCATTTTCCCTAGCACCCGTTTTATGATCTATGCTTGGGTCTTGAGCCCACAAGTCTACCCCCGCAGAAAGTGGAGTGGCCCAACGTGTGTAGTGTCGCAGGGGAGCCCCCTTGCGGTCCATTTGCACATTAGAATCTAAGGCCATTAAATCAATTGTGTGTCCTTGTCTTCCCCCGTAGGTTTGTTGGAGTTCTTGCCAAAGTCTTGGAGCTAGTTTAACGTCCGACTTAGATAAGGACCTAGACGATGTGTCTGCTGGATTCTCAGACGATTTGACATACTTGAGAGTCAAGGCTATGTTAGCGTCAACCGTTGTCAAGAACAGATTCTTAATAGCAGTATTCATGCTTTGTGATCTACTACCCAGGCGGCCTGCAGCACTTTATTATCTACCTGAGCAAAGACTCTAGCATTAGTTAGCCACGGTTTTCCCGCTTTTATGGCCATATCTAGCGCTTTCGTTTCCTTCTCGTTAATATGCAGGGCCCTATCACTCTCATTCCAATAGTCAGCTAGGTGGATTGTTCTACCATTCTCAAAATGGATCACCGCAGCCCATTTATAGTTAGATGCGTCTGTCGCCATCTTTATAGTAACATGTCTCTCATCTCGGCATGGGAGACTGCCAAGTGTCTAGGAACCTCCATTCTTCTATCTCCTGACTGAGATTTCCTGTCACTGGCACCATGCCTCCTAACTTCTGGGCCTTACTAATGGCCAGAAACGCTTCTCTTGTAAACAGCATAGCGGCTGGTACTACTAAAGTGAGTGTTGTACACTTTCCCGCCCATTTCTGAAGCGTTTTCACCGTAATGCTCTCCTGGGACAGTATGTGTTCCCTGAATACTATAAAGACCTCCTTCTTATCTAGTGGTAACACAAATGCCACCAGGATAGAATCACATCCCATACCCAAGTGGACGATATATCGTCTAGGTATCAGTTGGGACTTCTTAAGACCCAGGAAATACCCCAATTGTACTAGTATATAACATACAATATAAATGGCCGCATTGGCTGCGTTCATGCGGTCTTCTACTGTAGACTTATCCTTGATCCATCTTAACAACTCTGTTACAAATCTATCATCAATATATTGCATGACCTGGACGCCTAAGTTGCGAATATATGCGGTCGCTACCATACCAGATGTTTGATAGATACAGGCACTCCCTTTAAATCCAAATGGTATGGTCCGACATACATAGTACATCTGTCCCCATTGAAAACTTAATAATGTCTGACTGTCCTCTGTCACCAATATATGGTCATAGCCACTCTTATCATCTGAAGATGTCATGAATGTGCCTTTTGTCACAAGTCGCGGAATGTCTCTTAACGTGTCCAGAGTAAATGGGCAATCTTGAATCCAACAGTTTAGATACCTCTGGTCACAACATAATCTTGGCTTAGTCGGTTCGACTGTTAAGGGCATGACCAGATATGGTGGTTGACATTGCCCGACTTTCCCCACACTCTTATTGCCCCCGTGCGTACTCTAGCCGTTATCTCTTTGTTAATGAAAGCTTCAAAGTTTCTACAGATGCTGTTGTTCCCAAATCGTGCGCTGGTGGAAACGAGCAGTTATAGTATTATTGCCCTTTAAACTCTCCTTTAAAAGGGGTTATGAAATCCTTAACGTTGACTTTATTCTTTACCCAATCTAAGACTGTTTGGTGAGTAGGGTGGTCTGTAGCGATTTTCTCCCATAGTGCATACTGATTATGTATTTCTCATGCCACAAAACTATCTGGGTCCCTGAATCTAATGAGATTTGCCGCCACTTGTATGGGGTTGTCTGACGTTGCCACAAACTCCGCTGACGGTAACGGCCCCGTGGTACTGGTGGGCCTTCCCTCTGAGTCTACCCATCGGATCTCGTTCAGTTTCAGGCTGTCTTGGTTCTCAGCGCAAGAAGCCAGCTAAAAGATGAACAAAGCGCGAGTCAGGAGTGCAGAAGTCAGAGGGAGACGCCACCAGTACCCCGGGGTCCACTGGCTCAGAATGACCAGGGTAGCCCAGAGTACCGGCATGCATCCCGAAATAGTGCTGAGTTTAAGAGTGGTGTGCGTTGTAGAGTATTTTACCTCAACAAGTATCAATAGATTATATAATTAGGCAAGTTCATAGAGATTCGACCTGTTCGTGCCCATAACCTTGTTTCATTTCTTCAGAAAGATAAGACTATATTAATACTCTTTGAACTATATCGAGGCCTGTTATTCCTTCCCCATGTTATTCAAAGGCCCTTCAAAAGAGTAAATGGGGGAGGAGGGCTCACGTACCATCCTTCCCAGGATGATAACAAATTCAAACGTTTATCAACGTCATTGTTCAGAGATAGACTATTTTAAACAGTAGGGGTGATATTGCTTTGGCCACCTTTACTTTAATAGTTGGAGAACTAGAAAACTTATTGCTGCTTGTTTTATCTACTGCCAATAATTATGGGCAAAATTGTTATATTTTTGCTCATACCAGGCGTTAGGCCCAGTTTTCATAACTATTTGTATTATACCATATCTCTTTATATAGCTAAATAGCAGGATGAATTCAATGTTAACTTGTAGCCTAGTTTACCATATACACCGAATGCATGGTAGTGTACCACAACACTATCACACAGGTAAGAGACACACAAACTATGGATGTTCAATATCATTTTTATTTATTCCACATTGTCCATTACCGGTCCAGATCATCAGTGGACTCCATGACTACACGTCTATTAGAGACACAACAGTTAGTCAGATGTAACATGTATTTCCATTTAATTTACAATCTTTGTTTACGGCCTCGTCCCCTGAACCCACTGCGCATTTTTCCTCTAAACACTGGGCAGTAATTCCGTGAGTGGCCCCACGCCTTGCAGTGGAAACATGTACCGTAGAACACTGGCGGTTGCTAAAGCTAAGGTCCCAATTACGCCGGTGCCCGTCGGGGATGTAGCCCCGGCTGGCCCCGGCCGGGTTCAGGAGTCGAGCGGGCATCGGCTGTCGTGGTCACAATTAAAAGTTTCCTTCAGTAGCATTTTGTTAGAAATTTTGTCACCCTCTTTGGTCGGTATCCGGCAGGCACCCGGCAGGTACCCAGCAGATTCTCTGACGATGTCTTGCATTGACCTATACGTAATGCAGAATTCACGTATTTGTTGTGATCATTTGATCTGTGAGGTCACACTATTTTACCCGGGTTTACGAAGTACACACCTTTATTCCGTTCATCTGGTCTGTGACGTAAGAAATGTGTCCCGGTGGAATGCCGGCAACCGGAGGGGTACCTCTCGGTGTTCTCACGATGAGGTCACGGCGTCTTTTTGTCAGCGGGGCCCGGGTAGAATTTAACTCAGAATTAAATTCTTATCGGGGCCCCGACGGGCCAAAAAATAGCCCGGTAGCCGCAGGGTGCCCCGCGGGGCCACGTCGGGGTCCCGCCCGGAAGTGGTAAAAAACAGCCCGGGAGCTACCCGCCAGGGCCCCTTTTCCCAATTGGGACCTTAGCTTAAACAGGGTACCACGGTGGCGGGGGTGGAACCTGTGGCTGCTGTGCCGGGATGAACTGAGGGGGCTGCACAGAGAACTGGGGTTGTACAGGGAACTGGGGCTGCACAGAGAACTGGGACTGCACAGAGAACTGGGGCTGCACAGAGAACTGGGGCTGCACAGAGAACTGGGGTTGTACAGGGAACTGGGGCTGCACAGAGAACTGGGGCTGCACAGAGAACTGGGGCTGCACAGAGAACTGGGGCTGCACAGAGAACTGGGGCTGCACAGAGAACTGGGGCTGCACAGAGAACTGGGGCCGCACAGGGAACTGTGGGAACAAGCTGCTTACTAGCGGTGTCTCCCTGTTGCGCGATCTTCTCATCGATGTCTGATCCTAAGGCTCGGAGGACCATCTCACCTAACATCAGATTACCCGCATGCAGTGTAGCGTGACGTAGTGTGGCAGCATACTTGGGGAGGACTTCGTGCCCGGACGCCCGTGCCTTCTCTTCCAACCGCTGAAGTGCCGGGATTAGTAGAGCCGTGTTCAACTGTGACGGCGCCTTTGCGAGGTCGAGGGCCTGGTGTCACCGGCTACAAAACCAATATCAGATAGTAAAGGACTTATAGGCATGCCAATAAGTGCATAAGTAAGGGCCTGGAGGACGTCCTCCCGTCCTCCAGAGGACGTGATAACGCATTGCTATCCTCTCGAGAGGATATCGGCCACAGCGCTCGTATTATTGGCCATGGACAGCGCACCACGTGATATGTACCGGGTACTGTGAAACCAGGCACCGATCGACTGGGCGCGTTGGTGTTTACTATACCCAGTATACGCACGCATTTTGGTTAAATTGTCCGAAATCTGCAATTTTTGAGGTGATGAAGATCGAGCAATTCACCTTCAGAGTGTGGACAGCTATTTGGACAAGTTCTGGGCAGTTTTTTCTCAGGTAAGGATGCCAAAACGTCGCATAAACTTACGTAAACATACGGTCGGTGGGGAGGGGTACGGGTCTACAACCGTGGCTTTTTGCTGTTTGGGGGTAGGAAGTTTGTAATTTCTTTCTTCTTGTTGTGTATCGGAGTTCTGGTGGTCCAACGTCAATTTATTTTTTTTAGACCGGAGCCTGTATCAAATATAAAGCCGAGGCCGAACCGCCCCCCTCCCCCACTGATCGCGACCCACATGGGTTTACGGAAAAACCGATCCAGTCCAACAGGCGGAAAACCTACCCGGTCTGAGAAAAAGGTCTGCTTGGGGTCTAGGCCTGCTTTTATAGCCCAAATAACCACTATTTAAGAAATTTTATTGTGTTGAGAAAACAGATATGATGTGCAGGTTGGATCCATGTACAAAGAAAGACAAAGAAGAACTGAAAAGGGTACAGAATCAAGCTGCAATATTCTGTATGAACAGAACTATGAAAGAGGTGCTAGTGTCACAGAAATGAAAAGAAACCT